ACAAAATTAGGACTCAAAGCAGCTTATAGTCTAAAAGCACAGTATAATTAAAAACTTACAAATGTGACAATTAAAATGGAATTAAACTATTACAACATTAAAACAATTAATTAAAACAAAACAACTAACATTCTGGTAAGATTTTGAGGGCAATAATATACATTTAAATGGCAACTTAGAATTGAAGTGTAATAAACATCTCCTTTTCAAAACAGACACAATCTTTTTTGCGGCCAGCAGTGGCCTCTAGAAGCTCACAAGCAAGGCATGAAAATTACATCCATCCTCTTTTGGCACCAAACATCTAGTACTGCGATACATGCTACCCGTAAATAAGGAATTTCTTTCTCAGCTATTATAGGTAGATCAAACTATGAATTTGTTTAATCTTTTTTTTTAAAGTGATCTAATCCAGTACTAATTATAGATTGTATGATGAAGTACTTCTGGTTAGTCTGTTCTCAACCTACAGCAAAATCCACTGCTTGTATGTTTCTGAGTTCTATTATGTCCCACGTTCTATAATTGGGAGGAAACAATCTACTTCTCTACTTCTACTCACCCAACCCTGTTCACAGTTTTACAAAAGCTCCATCATGTCCCATTACAACAATGTTCAGTCCTCAATTCTAATGTCTCAGTACAGAATATGCAACTCATTGCATAGTGTGTCCAGTTACTAGAGAGAGGGGAAAACTTACATAAGAATTGCAATATTGATCAGAGCAATGATGATTCAAAACAAAAACAATCAGCCTAAATTCCATGTGGAAAACTGTGAGATTTAATGACTAATATGGTTCAATAGAAATCATATTCAAAGACTTAGCTTTTTGTGTATTCATACACTATTAATATTTTAATTCTTTCCCAGATTTTATTTTATAGGAACTGAGAAGGCAGGGTCTGCTAAAAGTTTAACTTTATTCTCTTTCCTACCCCTAAATGTCTTTGCTCAGTTAAATTTTCAGCATTTCCATACAGCTCATGCACTTAATCAAGGATTTATTTATTTATTTATTTATTTGCATACAGTTTAAGACAGAGCTTTTTATCCTAGCTGTCTCTCTGGGAAAGGAGAGCAAATCCATCATCTCTTTCCATTTATCACCTGCAACTCATGGCAGGCAACAGAGCAAAATCTGTGATAAAGTGTGAAGTAAAGAATTAGAGATGCTGTGTCTGATGTTAGCAAGTCATTTCAGATAAGAAGCTAAAGCATGAATATGTTCGTGCACTGCCTCCTTCCTTACATGGGGCACTTGCTTAGTAAGTAGCATCCTGGTTTTCAGCAAAATACATTTTGCTTACGTCTATGTAAAGAGTTTGCATGACTCTGGAAAGCCTGAATTTGAGACCTTGAATTAGTCCACACTAAGGAGGGAGGGCATGAGCACAAGCCATATTTATCTAACATCAAACCATGAATTGGTCCAATATCTGAACTAATCCAACAAGTGCTAGAAGCAAATAAGCAAAGCTTTCAAGATTTGTCTTGTCCATGTTCACAGATCAATGAATTGTATTCTGGTACCATACAGCAGATGGATAGATTCAACCAGAGAGGTCATGGGTATGGATTTGCAGGAACTAAGCAATGCAGTGGAACATAGAGGGATTTGGAGGTGTCTCATCCACAGGAATGAGATGGGGTTGACTTAAAGGCAGTTAACAATTACAACATAACGGTACTGTATATGGGTGCCAAGATGGCAGTGGAGAGGCTGGGGGTGTTTGGTATGGCTCTATAAACCTATCTTAAAGATAAGGACCTTGGAGCCTGAAGTTGTACTGTGAAGCTTCCACAAAGCTTTCTGGATAATTAACTCCCTATAATATTGAGGAATGATTTGTTAACGAGAAACTGGAAACTCAAGGCCTAAGCAGACTGCCAGAAATAGTGCACATTAAATTGAGGCACTGCCCTGGTTCAGTGCTAGGGAGTCATGGGAACTGTATTTTTTTCTGGGACATTGAGCCTTCTCTGTCAGAGAGCTCTGGTGCCACAATAAATTACAGTTCCCATGATTCCCTAGCACTGAGCCAGGGCAGTGCCTCAATTTAATGTGCACTATTTCTGGCAGTCTGCTTAGGCCCAAAGACTTGAAATCCTTCAAGACCTCATTCTTTCCACCAGTCTTTCTGCCGGGACTAATGTGGTAAGTACTTTGAACTTTAACTCATTGAATTCACTGAAGCACTGGAAAAGTGCTTGTGGTTATAGTTTTGACAAAGTAATTAGCTATCAATATAAAACATCTATTTTATAACGACAAAAGCAATATATAGAACAATAAAGTAGGGTATTATTTTAGTATTACAAGGAGGCATATCTAATATGAATAAAACGACTACACTTGTTATCCTGAGGCGCCTTTGGCAGGATAGAATATTCCTCCTACACTCAGTTATTGCTAAATTATATGGCGGATATTGTAGGTTGCATGTTACTGATTACATCAGGCCATAAGCTAGGAACTGTAGTAGATAAGTTGCTAATTCAGAGCACTGGAGTTGAACCAGATCAGTTAGAGCCTTTTCAGTTTACAAGCCTAGGGAAAAATGAAACTGAAAAATTACATTAGCTTTTTGCAGAAACTAGAATTGGCAGGCAATATCCTATTGCACAAAGCCCACTGGCAATATGCTTATGCAATCTTTTGGACAGCAGATTACAGGAGCTGTTAATTGTCATATTTATTTAAATATCTCCCTTTAGGATAGGTTAAAAACAGATGCATACATAGCACATAATATAGATAATTATGGCTATACCATTCCAATTGAGTCCTATCACCTGCTCTGAATAAAAATTACTATAACAGTACCAAAATATACTCAGAGGATCAAAAAGATCTATATTTGTGTGCATGATACTTAAGAAAAACTTTTCCATTTCTCTTACACTATGTTAGAGTAAGAGGCGCTTATTCAGTACCACATAAATGTTCATGAGCAGCAGGTCTGATTAGATAAAATTGCAGTTCAACTGAACTACCCAAGAGGTCAGAGGAGATAAAATACTCATGCAGTAAAGCAGTATATGAAGAAATACGGTACTACTCACAATGTTGGTGTAACAGAATATTGTAAAGAATTTCATTTCCAGT